CTCATTTGTCTCATCGGGGTGGGGTGAATGAAAGGCAATGGACAGTGTAGGACACAGTGGTAGTGGGGAGGGCAGTGGAGAGTACGGCGGATATGGTAGGGGAGGTTGAGGTGGTGGGTGGGGTTAGGAGTAATGGTGAGGTAAGTAATGGAAAAGAGTTCCACCGAACACGTAGGGCAATAAGGCTGTAAAGGGTTAGATGGTAAAGAAGGTGAAAGAAAAAGAGTGAAGGAGGTTAGAATAGTGATAACCGTAAAGAGGGTGTGTAAAGTTTAGAAAGGAAGAGTAAAGGTTGAAGTGCAATAGAAGTGGGTGTTGTGATGTGGGGGTTGGGGTAGACAAATGGGTTTAGACGAGAGCGTAGGTGCAAGTGTGGAAGAAGATATTGGAATTTTGAGGTTTTTTATTCCCCGTTATTTTGACTGGTGAAAATAACTTGTATCACGTGATACTTGGCATCGTTTTTGTCTTGTTTGTTTTTGTTGTTTTTTTCAATTTAGTTTCAGTGGAATTTCAATTATTTTAAATGAACTAATATTTAAATTTCTGTTTGCTAAGCTCCTCGTTAAATGACTATTTAACTGGAAATAAAACGTCCTGACTCACCCGAGAGAAATAAGTTCAGCAAACAAACAACACACATTAAACTGTGCGTCCTGAGGGAGTATCCCATGCTTGGTGGGCACGAAGCCATGGAAATATGAACGGCTATTCAACTGAAGATTTCTGCACTCAGAATAATAAATCTCTGTTGTTGTTGTTGGTGGTGTTTTTTAATGTAAGGCCTGAGATTGTCATCAATTTCTGTTAAATAGTAAAAAAAAAAGGGCCTAGACCGGATTATTCTATTATAGTAAGAAGGCCTATAGACCAGATATTCTATTATAGTAAGAAGGCCTAAAGACCGGATTATTCTATTATAGTAAGAAGGCCTATAGACCAGATATTCTATTATAGTAAGAAGGCCTAAAGACCGGATTATTCTATTATAGTAAGAAGGCCTATAGACCGGATCATTCCATTATAGTAAGAAGGCCTAGACCGGATCATTCCATTATAGTAAGAAGGCCTATAGACCGGATCATTCCATTATAGTAAGAAGGCCTATATACCGGATCATTCCATTATAGTAAGAAGGCCTAGATTGGATTATTCCATTATAGTAAGAAGGCCTAGATCGGATCATTCCATTATAGTAAGAAGGTCTAGACCGGATTATTCCATTATAGTAAGAAGGCCTAGATCGGATTATTCCATTATAGTAAGAAGGCCTAGACCGGATCATTCCATTATAGTAAGAAGGCCTAGACTGGATTATTCAATTATAGTAAGAAGGCCTAGACCGGATCATTCCATTATAGTAAGAAGGCCTATAGACCGGATCATTCCATCATGGTAAGAAGGCCTATAGACCGGATTATTCTATTATAGTAAGAAGGCCTATTGACCGGATCATTCCATTATAGTAAGAAGGCCTAGACCGGATTATTCAATCATAGTAAGAAGGCCTAGGCCGGATCATTCCATTATAGTAAGAAGGCCTATAGGCGGATCATTCCATTATAGTAAGAAGGCATATAGACCAGATCATTCCATTATAGTAAGAAGGCCTAGACCGGATCATTCCATTATAGTAAGAAGGCCTATAGGCGGATCATTCCATTATAGTAAGAAGGCATATAGACCAGATCATTCCATTATAGTAAGAAGGCCTAGACCGGATAATTCCATTATAGTAAGAAGGCCTATAGGCGGATCATTCCATTATAGTAAGAAGGCATATAGACCGGATCATTCCATTATAGTAAGAAGGCATATAGGCGGATCATCCATTATAGTAAGAAGGCCTATAGACCGGATTATTCCAGTATAGTAAGAAGGCCTAGCCCGGATCATTACATTATAGTAAGAAGGCCGGATCATTCCATTACAGTAAGAAGGCCTATAGACCGGATCAGTCCATTATCGAACAGGTCCCCTTAGAATAAGACTATCACACGGCAGCACAACTCATTAAAATTTAATTGAAATCTCTAAAGTCCTCCACCACCACCCATGTGAATCTCACTGTAGAAGCGACTGCGAAACCCCACTACGATTGTGCGCTCGTGATACAACCATTAACGATGCAATGATGGAGCACTTAATCATGAACGATTATTTGCGCCCCCGCCCCCCCTCCCACCAACCCCGGGCCTTGATGTCGTCCCCAGGCAGAGCCATACGTCATTTCTCCAATCAGATGGAAGTTTATTCTTCAACGAGATGAACTATAAATCAAAGCGGGAAACCAACACTTTGTTGGGAGGGGTGGGAGGATAAGCAAAGTGCTTCTAAACTAGCGCTCCCTAGTTCACTGACTTCTCGTAACTAGAGAAATTCAGACAAGCAAGAACCCTTTAAATCAAACAATTTTGGAGCCCTCCGTTACCGGTTATACGTAAACCTGTATACCCCCATATCCTATCTATTACCTACTATCTCCCCATATCCTATCTACATTACCTACTAACTCCCCACTTCCTATCTACATTACCTACTAACTCCCCACTTCCTATCTACATTACCTACTAACTCCCCACGACCTATTTACATTACCTACTAACTCTACATACCCAATCTACATTATCTACTAACTCTACATACCCAATCTACATTATCTACTAACTCTAAATACCTTATCTACATTATCTACTAACTCTAAATACCCTATCTACATTATCTACTAACTCTACATACCCTATCTACATTACCTACTAACGCTACATACCCTATCTACTAACTCTACATTATCTACTAACTCTACATACCCTATCTACATTATCTACTAACTCTACATACCCTATCTACATTATCTACTAACTCTACATACCCTATCTACATTATCTACTAACTCTACTTACCCTATCTACATTACCTACTAACTCTACATACCCTATCTACATTACCTACTAACTCTACATACCCTATCTACATTATCTACTAACTCTACATACCCTATCTACATTATCTACTAACTCTACATACCCTATCTACATTATCTACTAACTCTACATACCCTATCTACATTATCTACTAACTCTACTTACCCTATCTACATTACCTACTAACTCTACATACCCTATCTACATTATCTACTAACTCTACATACCCTATCTACATTATCTACTAACTTTACATACCCCATCTACATTATCTACTAACTTTACATACCCCATCTACATTACCTACTAACTCTACATACCCTAAATACATTATCTACTAACTTTACATACCATATCTACATTACCTAAGTCCCCACCCCTTATCCAGCTATCCTCTCTCCCTACCCTCTCAACCTCACCCTACATTCCAATACCCCCCCCCCAAATCCCCCATCCCCAGTTCACCACTTCCCATGCTCTCAGCCTTACCCTACACCCCAATACCTACTTAATTCCCATTTCGCCACTCTCTATACCCTCTCTTTCCTTAACTCTACTTGTGGTATGTCCCCAACCTTTATTGCTGCTCTTCACCAGACCAGTTATCCACAACCACAACATACCTTCTCAAACGTTAACACACTATTACACTCCATTATTACACTCTACCCCCATAACTCCCCGCCCCTTCATACTCAAACCCCCTTCTCCTGCTGTCCACACCAGCTACCCACTTTCTACTGGAATTGTGCTGGCTGCAGTGCTGGCCAATTGGTGTTTTTAAAAGTTTAAAGTGTACCATGAGTGTAAATTTTAAACCTGTATTTTTTTTTTTACTTCAAATGCAGAACAACAGTGTTTCTTTCAGGCATCTCTCCACAGGGGGAGTGCCCAACCCCCGGAGCAAGTCAAATGACACCCCCCCCCCAATAAATCTGGAGAAAAATGTGTACAAAAATAAAGCAAAATGATTTTTTTTTTACACGTTAATTGTCCTTTTTTAAAGAGTACTAACTTGTTCCCTTCACTGATAACATTTATTGAAATAGTAGGACCAATTTAAAATTGTTACGCCCGATGTATCTGATGTTGTTCACATTTTAAAATCTGTAACCGTTTGTATCATATCTAAAAATTCAATGGCTTTTCTGTTCTCATAATCACATTTCCCTACTCACACCCTCTGAAATGCCATCTTGCTACCATTGGAGCACTGACCTCCGCAGTAAATTCAATGGAAATGGGTTCTGGTCATGGGACCATCCGCTGCCGCCAGTTCATCAATTTCTGTCACTTCACAGAATGAGATCAACTTAAAGTAATAAAATAATAATAATAAAGTTCATTTCAAAAACGCGCTTCATCCCCAAAGGCTCGAAGCGCGGTACAAAGTCAACAAAAAACAAATCTATAATTTACCACATTTAAAATAAACGCAACACTACAAAAACTAATTACAAGCATACAATGGCAAAGTCTTTCTAGCCATTTCAACCATAAGCAACACAGCCATTATGCATTAAGTGGAAAATAAGGTAGACAATCATCCCAGAAGGTGTTTGCGAAATAGATGTGTCTTTAAATCGGTTTTAAATGACTCCAGTGTCTGGTTGTTTCTTAGATCGACAGGAAGGGCGTTCCAAATTGTTGAACCAGCAAATGCGAAAGTGCGCTTTCCGTAAGTCTCAAGGCAAACACGTGGTGTCGAGAGTTTGCCACTATCGGATGAGCGGAGCTCTCTAGTGGGTACATAAGGCGTCAGCAGCTCTTTCAGGTTTGTTAACTGAATAATGTCATCATGCTTTAAAATTAAAATATAGTTATTAGTATAATTGTTTGATATTCATATAAAACTTATACAAAATTGAATGTAGAACTTTTCTACAAACCAGTATTTTTCACAGTTTGCATCTGGTAAGAGTTGAAAATATTTAAGAAAGGTAATTATATTACTTGCTTTTTGTGACAGACAGCATTTTTTTTCTTCAAAAGACCAAATAGAGTTTAAAATTATAATAATAAAATACCCAAGAATGTTTAAAATGATAACGATAAAAGATCAAAAGTCAAATTTATCTTAGTGATAGTGCAGTTTATTTGAATAAGTACGGTAGATAATGTTTATAAAAAAATTTAAAAAAACAGCTTAGTATGAAATATATGAGATGAGTTATGCCTTACAAACTACTGTCAGTGTAACAAAAATGTTTTACATAAAATAGAATCTGTTGCAATGTTTTACATAAAATAGAATCTGTTGCAATGGCAACGTGTAAAATCAAATAGGTTTGCTGTTGACACCATTCAGTATGTCCAGCAGATGCAGTTTGTCTTCCTTGTTTCCTTTCTGGTCAAATTTCGGTTAAACATTTAACTCTGGTGTCTGGTTCCATCATACATACTGTACTGAAGGGATATTTCCAATTCCCGAAGTCTGCTTGCATACATTGTCACCAAAGTCTGATCCTCATCTGTTACAGATTATGTAGTAAGGGACATCACCTAAATCTAAATAAAATGGGTAAATACATTTAAATGCATCTCAAAGCTGGAACTTTAATGTCAAATTTGGAATCTTTGGGTGATTTTTTAGTAATGGAGACAGAGGGAGAAAAAAAATCTAAACATAAGTTATTTAACCGAAATATGAAAAAGGTCCACCTTTCTCAATAAATAAAGTCAAACTTTTGTTTTTCAATAATGAGATCTAGACAAGATATACTGCTAGTGTATATAAATATAACTAAACAAATTCTAGTGTTAATAACACATGTCATAACAATGAGTAAGTTATAATAAATGGAGGAACAGCCAAAATTACAGAGAAATGTTGTTTTTTATACCGTATAAAACTTCTATGAAAAAATATATATGATTAACATGTTTGAAATACAAGCAACATGAAATATGAACGAGCATGTAAAAAAGATAATCGTGATTATCACAACTTAAGGTGCAATGGTGAAACAATGTGAGTTAATTTATCTTAAGTACAATTAAGTTAATTTGTTTTGATTTTTTTTTTTAAAGTCAGTATCACTGAAGGTTTAGCTCAAAATCTGTTTTTTGAACATTCCTGTTTGTGTTAAACTCGTTTCCCTCTGGTTATAAAGCAGACTTGTGTTGTTTGTCTAACGTTTGTCAAGAGTTCTCACTGTATCAAGACTGACCACCAAATTAGCAAGACCTGAAAGAAATTTTTCAATTGTGTATAAAGCGCACACACATACAAACTTACATATATATTATGTAAGTAACACAATACACAAATAAAGGCAATGACGAAAGAATCCGTTAAAAGAATCTTAATTATAAATTTCTTTTTAAAGAATCTTTAACCAAATCTTTTTAACTTTTGGTAAACTGGGATTGTTTCTTAAACCTACCAACATTTCCACAACATTTGACACAACCATTGTCACCAAATGTGATACTTACCACAAACATTTCCACCATACTTGACATAAACATAACCATTATCACCAAAGTCTGATCCCCATGAGTTACGGATTATGTAGTAAGGGACATCACCTAATTAAAATGGGCAACTATTTGACATAACATGAATTAATAACAAAAGTATTCAATAATATCAATATTGAATTAGTTTTACAAGTGGCTAGTTCCTTGCTATTGCTCTCACAAAAAGTTTTATTTCATTTCACTTATCATGAATCCATCCCTGTGGCATTAAAGCCCATGTAGGGCTTTGGTCTGCCTCACTACTTCCACTCAGACCTAAGTGATGCTTTTCTTTTCCATGATTGGATTCCCAGCTACTCTAGATCTTTTTCCATATCATTCACCCATCTTAGCCTAGGTCTCCTTTGAGCCGTTTTCCTCTGCCGTTTTGGTTGTGCAACCCAATTTACTCCTCTGTCATTTCTTTCTGTTATTCTAAGTGTCCCGCCCAGCGCAGCCTCCCCTTTTTTTATTTCTAATACAGCATGGGAACCTAATATGGACTATACAATTCCTAGTTGGTACGTATTCTCCATCCATATTCATCCGTTGTTGATCCGCATATTTTCCAGAGAACTTTTCTCTCTCATGTTTTTAATAGGTTTTCTGTCTTTTTTGTTAGGGCCCAAATTGCGCTTGCATATGTTACTACTGGTCTTATTGGTGCTTTTATCTTTAATTTTGTTTGTTTCACTTGTAATGTTTTTACTTTTGAGTATGAATGATGTCACCTATTTGTTCATTTCGAGAAATTATTTTTTACCAACTACTCTACTTTTTGAAGAACTCAAATTTTATACACATCTTAGTCTGGTGAAAAACATTATTAATATATGAAAAGTTGATGTATTCTTGACTGATCAACTTTTTAGTAAAAATTTCTAAATTACAGTTTTAAACCAGAGAAAGGGGAAAACCTGTAGGAAGCCTGAGTGCTTTTATCCAGAAAAAAAACTCTCTTAAAAAAAGTATTTTATTTTTACTGTGTAGTGACACACTTATACACCTTAAAGTTATCCTTACCTTCCAAGTTGTATCCCACAATTTGCACTGCATGATTTAGAGTCTCTGAGCAATGATACTGAATTATTCCTCCAACATAGTTGTGCCATGTTGTAGCATCGATGGCCACGGCAATCGGCCCATGCTCAGCTATAAGATCTAACAGTGTGCTTTCGTTATCAACATACCTGAAAGAAAGCACAGGGCATGGGAAGATACATTTTTTTGTTAACCAACAGTAAATTCTAACTTCTAATTTTGAAAATAAATAATTACCTTGAAACTAAGCTGTGCAACATTGGTTAATTTCTTCTTAATCATAGAGAACTTATATATACTACATAAAGAATTTAACTGACACAAAAATGACAGGCTTGATGAGAGTTATGAAAGGGCAACATGTTATCAACTTGTGTTCATTGTTTCAAATTTGAATTATTTATCACTGCAAACTTTATCCTTAACTTGTTCTTGAAATCATTTTAAGTTTTAAGTTTAAAATTGTTATTTTGCTGTTGTTGCTCCTGCTTTAATCTGGCAGCTGTATCATCACTGGTAAAGTTACAGGGATTATGCATGGCCCAGTACTTCATAACTTCTAAAAAACTTTATTTTAGAAACTTTTATTAATTTGGCTTGGGCTATGGCACAATTTTCACCAACTTGGCTATGTCCCAAACAGCTGACATCTGGTGAACCGCTCAGACTATGACGACAGTTGAATCTATAAATATTAATTTTTGCAAGGCACCATATTACAAGCAAATGGCACCTTTGCAAAGCACACAAAGGAACCTACATGATATCCTATGACTTTATAATTATATTTAAACTTAAATAAAAACTTGTACTCTAAAATGTTTTTTTTTTTTCCAATCGAGTTGTTTACTCTGAGTATTCCCCAAGAGCTATTGCCTTACTGTGTTAGTGTATTAATTCCACCGGGCTATTTACTTATAACTTGGCGTGACCTCAGATGATAATTGAAACTTCTTTCTCTTGATCATGACACAAACGGCTGTACCACTGTATTGAACATTCTATCTTTTGATCATGACACAGACGGGTGTACCATTGTACAGCTCTCATGAACTGCAAACTGATCAACTTGAAACTACTATTTGCACATTATTGTTGTATTATAAGGAAATGTAGCCAACCATTGTGTTCAGTAATGGCTTTCTACCAGACCAATGACCTAGCCTATGTCACGTCACAACCTTATTCTTATACTGCATCCTACTATATTTTTAAATTGAAAGGTTTCCTCTGGACACTACAGGTGCAATATTGAAAGGTTTCCTCTGGACACTACAGGTGCAATATTGAAAGGTTTCCTCTGGACACTACAGGTGCAATATTGAAAGGTTTCCTCTGGACACTACATGTGCAATATTGAAAGGTTTCCTCTGGACACTACAGGTGCAATATTGAAAGGTTTCCTCTGGACACTACAGGTGCAATATTGAAAGGTTTCCTCTGGACAATACAGGTGCAATATTGAAAGGTTTCCTCTGGACACAAATGGTGCAGTATTGAAAGGTTTTCTATAGTCACCACCAGTGCAATGTCCTAAAAGTTCCAAGATCTGCTAAGGACTTACTTTGCAGCATTGCAGGACTTGAGATGCACACAAGGAGTCTCTGGGGGTAGTCTCTTACAAGTGTCAGTCTTATCAGTCAGTGGGTAGCTGTCAGCCCACACAACACAATGCTGTAGGCAAATTCGATTAGTAGCAATATTATTTATGGTCATCAAAAGAGTTATAGGAGGGCCTTAAGAGCATCAAATTAAATTATAGGGTGGCATAATATACATTGTTCGCTTTATAATATACTAAATTGTTTCTTGTAAAATCAGATTCAGGATTATATTAGGGAGACTGCAATGAAGCTGTGCACAGGGAAATATGAAGCACATGGTTTGGGAAATCTCAAGAGCTGATAAGTGAGACACAAATAATTTATGTCAATAAAATAACATATGGTAAGCTTTAATTATGATTAGGCAAAGTGCAAATTCAAACATTTCTGCAAATGCCTTCATCACTACAATAAAAAAACATTGATATAATCAAAATTAAAATGCATAATCACTACAATAAAAAACATTGATATAATCAATAATATATAAAATTAAAATGCATCATCACTACAATAAAAAACATTGATATAATCAATAATATATAAAATTAAAATGCATAATCACTACAATAAAAAAACATTGATATAATCAATAATATATAAAATTAAAATGCATCATCACTACAATAAAAAACATTGATATAATCAATAATATATAAAATTAAAATGCATAATCACTACAATAAAAAACATTGATATAATCAATAATATATAAAATTAAAATGCATTATCACTACAATAAAAAACATTGATATAGCCAAAATTGAAATGCATAATATATGCATATCGTTCATATACCTAAAGTGAAAAAAAAAAAGAAGAAGAATTGGCACAAGTCCAGTACGAAAACAAAGATCAGAAGAATGGAAAAGTAAAAGTACAATATAAAACCAAACAGGAAAAAAGACCTTGCCGTTATATGAATTTTGAATTTTGGTTTACACCAAACGGAGTCAACATACCAAATCTTTTTATTGATTTGTTTTCCATATAAATTCTATCAGGTGTATTACTCGCATACAATATACCTGTAACTACAATGTCTAAAGTTCCATTGAAATTTTTAGAAATGGGTCAAAAAGCTTGTTTATTGATGTAGTACAAGTGTTCTCTGATTCTGATAGACTACGTTGCTGCAACCAAGTACTGGCATATGTGCAATGGTTTGGGAAATGATGCGACTATCCTAACCACTCCTAGCGGGTGCCAGGGCAGCCTTGAAACTCTCAATTGATTTCGAGTCCATGGCGGCATTGTCCAGTTGGCTCGAAGCAATTATGGTTCGCGGGAAGAATGATCGTTTATATTGAATTGTGGTACATCGAGGCACAGTGAAGCATTTATAATTTTTCCGGATGTAACTGCTCAAGGAGTTGTCAGAGGCGAAGTCAGTGTTTATTGAGCGTTTAGCTCTGATTAAGCGACCTAGCTTCTGTGGGGTTAAATATGTGTTAGCTGGAATGGCCGGCACTAGCCCTGTGACCACATTATAGAGAAATGTTAGACGGAGCTTTTCTGGTCTGTCTTTGATGGAGGGGATATCAAATCTTTTTAAGAGGTCAGTGACGAAGCCAGGAGTAGTGGTTTTGTAGTCACTTGCGATGAAGCGCACTGCGTTGCCTTGTATTCGCTCCATTTTGTCCACGTCTTGCTTTAGGTCTCTTAGGTGATGACCTGTATTGCATACTTATAATTTTCCGCACTATTTACAAAGGATGGTGTAAATCATGTTGTGACTTGTGCAAGTAAAACCATCTTTGAGTCTGAATATTTCCAGAGGGTAAGTGATTTTATCAACTTCAATCACATAGGGACACAGGTTACAGCAGTTATGGTTGCAACTTTTGGTGCCAATATGTGCTTTAATAGCACAGTGGTGGCTTCTAACAAGCACTTCCCACGGAAAGCGAAAATAGGAGGTTTTTTTAAGAATATTACTGGTGAGGGGGGTCTCCAAAAAAGATAGACCAGTTTTTAATAGCTCAAGAATAGAACAACACAACGAACACATTGACCAGAAACCTTCTTCAGTGAACAGATCAAGTAAAACAGTGGGGATAAAATGAAATTTACATAGAAACTGAGATTATAGAAAGTTAGCAGAAAATCTGAGCAAATTTCCCAATAACTCCTAGAAGCTTTTCCATACAGTGTAGTAGTACATATTTCCAAATATCAGATTCTAAACTTATTTGATGTGTCCATGCAAAGACCTTTAGAATGTCTTCTATTTTGCATTAAATAGTAATAGTATTTTAAACTTACCTGTTGAGCCCAGTCACAGGCCTCCTGTATGTCACCGCCAACACAACCCATATTTTTGGAGTCACAGTCAATCAGCTCTTGTACGCTGAGGTGAGGGGGAGATGTGGTATTTTGCTGTATGGCGTACATACTTTCTATAGTTTCTACAACACTGAAGGCCCTGAAAATATTTTATTTTTGAGGCTGTACAATGCTGAGTGTCAGTGAGTTTTTTTTATTTATTGTTATTCTACAACAATGATATGCCTACGTGTTTCAGATATCGAAATAAACATTCCTCTAAAGCAGCAACGATTTAATATGTGATATTTTAACTAACATTATTATAACATGCACAAAAATGCAAACGAATTTACAAAATAAAAGCCATGTATACCAGCAGGCTCCACAAGATCCTTGATCCATGATTGGATTAACCACACCTTTTTCTCTCCTGAAAGCCAAAATAGATACACAAATTAAACTTAGAAAACGAAAAGAACTTCACTAAGCTCTTTATTTTAATTTTTTAATTTTTTTTTTTTAAATACCCATTCCAAATTTTGTACTAATGTTGTAATATGCAGCCTAACTAAGACTATCAAAGTTTTATGTTAATAGGTAACCATAATATAACTTCTTATTTTTTTACTTAAATTTATTATTCCAAAATAAAGAAGTTAGCTTTAAAATTATTTTAATTTCTTAAAATGAATTTAATTAAAAGGCTACAGCTAAAAACATGCATCCTGTAGATTTACATTTAAACATTGTGAACACTTCTAAAATAACAACAGTTATAATACCAGTCAAATTTCCTGGGTGGAGCTAAATTTCTTGTATCCTTGACTTGAAAAGAGACGATGCCATTGATTGGCCGCACTGTTTTCCTGCCATTTCTATGTTTAAGACCAGTCAAGTACTTGGCTGTTTCATGAAAAGGAAAACTATTTTACTAAACATGTTTAACACTGTTAAGAAACTGAAATTTGCTAGTACAGAAGTACAGAGTTCCTTTCAATCAGAATGTTTCATGTTTGCAATTCTCCAAATGCATGGCCACTGTGTTAATGTGTTGACACTTAAATTTTAAAACAGCTACTGTAACCAGGAGCGAATTAAATTAAAATAAAAATACTATGCATGTGTTGGGTATACAAAAAACATAGTAGATAATAAAAAAACGATAACATTGTTTAACTTCAAGGTTAAGTTTTTATTGATATATATATATATATATATATATACACACAAGTATATTGTGTATATATATACACAAGTACTATAAAATATATATAATATTCATTTGAGCAATGCTTAATTTTTTGTAAGACCTTTCTTTATCGGCTCAACATTAATTTAACTAAATTAGATGGATTTAAAATTTTAAAAACCTTTGAATTCCATTGGACTAATATCAGCAAATTTGTTGACACCATATACAGGAGACAAAACATTTTTTGTTTCATTATTCAGTAGATTAGCTCTGGCAACATTTTCCTGAAATAGTAAATTAAATACATGTATAATTAACATAAGTATAATAACTTTTTTTATTAAAGCAAAATAAGCTATTTAAATTTAATATCCCACCAATCCACAGTTATTGTCAATCTCTGTATTTTTAGTGTGTAAAGCAGGCCTTCACAACATATGACCCGCAGGTCACATGCGGCCCGCCAGGACCCACTCTGCGGTCTGCGAAGTAACTAAATATTCTTCATAATTATTATCTTCTTAATAGCTTCCCCCCTGTCCTATTTTCTTTCGGCCTGCACAAGTTTTTCATAAAGTAGTACGGCCCACCTTACATTTTGAGTTGTGCAGGCCTGGTGTAAAGAGTTGATATTTAACAAATCTAAGCTAAAAATAGAGAGTAGATGCAATATCTCCCACTGTGTCAAAGACTGCTTGCAGATTTATATAATTATACTTTCATTTCCCACACATTGAGTTCACTTAAGATTAACATATTGAGCAACAAATCTATAATGGAGGAAGGACTACAAAAGGTTTTGAGGTTCACCTATCGCAAGAGCATTATAGACAAGCAAGGAGAGACAAGATGCAGACATAAAAGTAAAGATTGAAAATGCTAAGAGTACCTTTCCAACAACTGAAAAAAATGTCTGGCACTCCAGAGATCTAACGCTTAAAACAATTTTCAAGGTATTTAACACTTTCATAAAGCCTGTGGAACACAGAGCTGGAGAACCACTGCAACAAACCTAAAGAAAATGCAAGAATTTTTAAACTGATGCCTAAGAAAAATCCTTAGAATTCGATGGTCCAACATAATAATTAATGAAGAACTATGAGAGACAAAGTCTTCCTGAAAAAACATTTGTGGAGCAAATGCGAGAGCTTAATTTTCCTCCAAGAAATGTATAATTTTTAGGGAGAATAAGGTGTCTTATTAAAATATTTTAAGGAAATCATCCTCGTTTTGTTTTATAAAAATACATGAAAGATGTATTTTTAATAAGTATAATCTCCTTTCTTTTTTTTCAAACATTTGAGAAGCACAATTTGAAAGCCTAAATTGGTTTGACATTAATGGGGTATAGAATTTTGAATTTTCTTCAAAGTGAAATTGCCAGCATATGTTGTATTTTGACAAATGAACAATGACTTGGATTTAAGTTTCCTTCTGTTGGAATTATCTGTTATTTTATCTTTTCAGTACATCATTTTGGCAGTTAGAGTTCCAAAAACTATACAAGTAAAAATTTTACCTATCAATTATGACTTTAAAACAGCACAAGAAGTAGTTGGTAAATTGTACAAGTCTATTTATTATACAATTATTTTAATATCAATTATGTTTGTGTATTTCTTCATTTTTTCCCTGAGTGTTTCTTGGGTACGGTACAAGAAAGGATCACAAAAATGTTAATTTCCAATGTAAATGTTAGTTGAACTGTTTCCTTTCATAAGACAAATTAGTTGAAATGGGTGTCCAGAATGAGATATAGTTTTTATATTTATTTATATTTTAATGTTACTTAATTTATTATCTTATTTTCTTTAATTAATATTAAATGTGAAATTATTGTAACTTATTTCTAATAAATACTGCCCTGGTTATTTTTTAAGCCGGTCCTGCTAGCCCCCTGTGCTTTCCTCCCTAACCTCTCCCTGCACTTACCTTAATTCACCTTACATGCCATCTTCCCTTTACATGCCATCTTCCCCTCTAAGGCTCTATGTTCCACTCCCCCTCATGCCCTACCCTCACCATCCTTATCTCTCTACCAGTTCCCCAGTTGCTCCATATCATCTCACCCCTCTTTCCACATTCCTCCTGCTCTGGAACCTTACATAACAAAGCTGCCCTGCTCTCTAACGCTTACCCTCACCTGCTGTGTCCCCCACCCTAAAGTGAAAATAAGTTTTTTTGTTTTTTATTTTAAATATATATATGTAATACATTTAATTATTATATCAACAGCAGGAATTTTAAATGTTTAATATTAATTATATTCTCTGACTATATTATCTAAAGACTCTCATCTTTTATTTTTAGAGCAGGAGCCCAAAAAATGAATGAGTTAATAATTAGGTTAGGCATTAGGCCAATCCAGACCTCACAGTGGAGACAGCAGAGCTTTCAAAGATTGATGGGTGGATCCATTATCTATATAAAACGTCATAAAAATGATAAAGTATACATAAGTATACAACAGTACAGTAAAGTACTAGTACAGTATATTACTATATTGTCATTACTGATTACTGTCATTGATAGTCATTGTCTGCTCCAAACCCCCTAAGCCCTAAGCCTACACTAGCCTACACTTATCAATTTTCCCCTTAAACATTTAGGCTAGCAATTAAATAATAGACTTAAACTTAAAATATTATTATATAATTATACTTTAAATACCTTAAAAATTGTAAATCGAAAATGCAGTACAGACTCAGAATTATTATAAGTATAAGAATTTGAATTTGTCAATGATCCATTTTTACTATTTTCACGAAAAATATATGGCTTTTTGTATTTAATTGCAAATTCTAAAAATTCTTTATATAAAGGATCTTTAATTAGCTCATTTGCTTGAATAAATATGCTGTATAAACCAATAATTAACATAGAATATAAAATAAAACTTGAAAATCTAAACAGAAAAACCGATTTTGAAACAAACTGATATCGAAAGTGGCAATGGTCCACCATTTTGCATGAAGTCATGTGATTTATATTTAGGATTTTTTTGTGGTTTTCATTCATCTGTACCTGGGATAATTTATCACAATCCTAAAGTCAATAATCCCGTCCTAAAAACAATATAAAAAGTGTGCACATTAGAAGAATATGGGGGGGGGGGAAGGGCCGGGGTTCTTATTTTAAATAAATCCATAGAATTATAATTTAATAATCTGGAAAACATATTAAAAAAAACAAATATCAAATAGTAATTTAATTAATTTAAGTTATACAGTAAATTTACTAAATTTACCGTACCGGTATTTGTAATTGTTTTTTTAAAGTGTATATACAAAATATTTAGAGTTTTAAAACTAAAAGTATAATTGTTTTTATACTATGTCACATAGTATGTGACCTAACCATTCCACAGTTGCATGACAAAATCCACACTTGCTTTTAAGTTTAAGTTTACAGTAACATTTGCCTGCACAAATTTCCTCAACAAAGATCGTTACTGGGCTACATGACTTGAAACATCTTGACGGTAAATAATTACAGCATCAACTGTAGGCGCTGCAGTTTTTCTGGTCAACAATAATGCTAATCAACTAGACGTTAGATCGTAACTGGAGTATTTTTTCATTCCAAACGGCATAAGGCATAACCGTATATTTGTATAAACCATCTGGAGTACAGAAAGCAGATTTCTTTTGCTCTTTCAGCCTGTCAGACAGTGGAACCTGCCAATAACCAGATAATAGGTCTATCATGGTTACATATTTGGCATCTCCTACTCGATCAATGAGATTGTATAGTATATCCTTGTAGCCTTGTAATTGTAATAGTGAAGGAATCAGACTTTGTAACAGAATTCCCTTCCTGTAGCCTATTCAGTGCAAAACCTGTAAATGTAACTTTATTATTATTTTTTAAATGCCTTTGTGGGGGACGTAGCCTAATTTATTTATTTTTTTACATTATTCAATCATTAGGGGGTCCTTGAATGAATGTCAGTGGTTGACAAAGGGGCGGGGGTGAGTACAAGATTGCCTATATTCAAATTTGTTGAGAATATTGAGATAATTAATCGAAGGCCCCCTCCTACATATGAAAACCTGAAATATTTGTTATCATCAAATTAATATATTTTTAAAACTTTTTAAATTGTTATGTCTTTCGTGTTTGAAAATATGGTCCTTAATTTTTAGAACAAAAAATATTTCGGTTGTGTCCATCAGAAAAATTACGTCTCATATTTCATATAATCATATAATTTTTTTTTTTTTTTTTTTTTTTTTTTTTGTTCTCCCCTTTTTTTTTTTTTTCTGTTTTTTTTTTTTTTTTTTTTTTTTTGCGTGCCCTCCCCTTTTTATTTCGAGACTGCTATTGCGTACTGAGTACTGAGTAGTACTGACAATGTTGGATAACTCGGACGTTTTGCTAACAAAATAAATGATAACATCCATTGCAATTTGAAGGCTTCTGAACAACGGAGATTTAAGCACCAAACCTGACGTCGAGAGGGTAAAAAACGGAAAGCAATGTGAGTCCTGAGTCTGTTACTGTTTCTCTCTATATATATATATACCGGTGTATAGTGTATATAATATATATATATATATATATGTGTGTGGTAACCGGTAGTGTAGCTAAATCATACATGTATACCGTATAACCGTATATGTACTAAACTTTTAATTTTAAAACTAAAACTATGTACCGTATTATTATTATTATTACTATTGACTATACTATGGGCCAGTGTAGGGCGGATACTACTTGAATTAATAATTAATACGTTGTTGCACCACGACTATTTTCAAACTATCAATACTATTGAAATCTAAGTCTATTATTGCATAATTGTTTTTTTCCTTATATTAAATATTATAATGTTAGAGGGGGGACAGCAAGGCTGGTGCTAGAGCAGGGGTAGGGAACCTTTTTGTCTGAGAGAGCCAGGGACACCACATATTTTGAAAAGTAATTCTATGAGAGTCAATGAGAGCCATACATTATGATTATGTTTAAAACTAATAATTCAAGTAAATGTGTGCATTTTGTGTAATTTCAACACTAAAAATGCAATAATTATGTCTCTGAATTCTTTTAAATAAGATTGTTATGCTGTTGCTAATCAATGAGTATTTCTTACCATTAATGCGACTATTTTTTTATAATCGAACATTTGTTTGCGAGCTAGATGCAGCCATCAATAGAGCCACATCTGCCTCGCGAGCCATAGGTTCCCGACCCCTGTGCTAGAGGGTAAGGGCAAATTAAATTTTGCAGGGCCTTTGACTTTGAAACTTTGTCTTTGATGTTAAAGTTACACTTATACACAGCAATGGGGGCCCTAGGACCTACGAGAATGTAATGCACTGAGGCTCCCATTTCCTGACCAACCTATAATACAGGTAATGTTAAGAAAAGATTTGGGGGCTCATGTTGATCCATGCATTAGGACCAGCGTTTCTTTCAGACCAATGGTGGGGGGGGGCGGCAATCTGTCAGTGCCTAAATTAGGCATTATGATGTAGAGGGCCAGCTCTAACTCCTACCTTCCCACCATACATAAACAAAATTTAATTCCAGTTGTGGCGCCCCCTGGCCCTGATGGGATGCTTTTAGTCTCAACACTTTTTCTACTGGAATCTATATAGTCCTACTATTTATATATCAAACTATGCAGCCCTGAGAAAGCTGTTCCTAGGCAACTGTTTAGTCCCAGCTACTTCAAAAACTAGTTGCATTGTGGAAATCTACTGTAGAAACCCTCTTATAGGGCGTTCAATGCTTCCCCGGGATGGGTGGGGGAAGATATCAGGATGAAAATTTACCATCCCGACTCTCCGGAGTCAACTGCAAATGCTTTAAACACATCGTTTTTGGTCAACCAGACACCCCTGGCGGGAAACGCCTCCATCAGCAAATTCTGATCGAGCGGTTGCGTTTGGGGGCAGTCCAAGTCTGGGGAAGTCTTTGGCATGCCGCCGCATAGCCCGGGGTAAGGGAGACCCAGCATCTGGGCTGTGTGAAGGTGTGTCGGGAGGGCATTAAGAGCTCACACTTGACGGCCTGCCGTTAGGCTGTCTGTGCTTCTCCAAGAATCATTCCTCTCAAGATCTTAAATTCTCCTAGTGTTTGTCCAAACCATCTATTTTCTATGAATCACTACTTGTCAAAGCCATGTCCAAAGCCACACAGTGTTCTTTCAAATTATCCAGAAAAATGGCTTTGAGCTGAATATCATAAAGAAGCCAAATATGTAAAGTTTTGGTTGTTGGAAAGGTGTCTTCATGGATCCCTACATCTGGTCTACTAACCACAAGTAATATTATATCCTGAAAAATTCTTCAGCCGTCTCTTATGTCTCATCTCTATATTAAAACTGCCCCTTTCTTCGCATATTGGGATGTTTTCTTAAACACCGGCTTGATATTTGTTTCTGTTACAATTTCCTTTGCATGGACATTGCAGATGCAAATCCTTCTTCTTTGTATTTGTTGAAAAAATTGATTAGACCTTTGATATGTATAATATTAAAATAAGTTGCATAGCTAAGATATGCCAGGTCTTGTTGATGGTGTTGATAGACTTTATACCATAATGACTGTGACAAGCAGAAGTAGAATCAGTATTTACTTTAATGTCTTTAGGCAATTGATCTTGGAGGGATTGTATGGAAAAAAGATTATCATTTGATTATCTTGTGCCTTCTAATGTTTTGTAGACTGGAAGTTATGAACTATGAATAGGCATGTTCTGGCTAATTAAATAATATAAAATATAAGGGATATTTTCGTCGTCTCGTTCGCCACCCCCTAGTGCTGGCCTATGACACAGACAGTAAAATATAATAATTTTAATGACCAGTGGTAGCGTGGTACTTGGTATGCCTTCATTGAACTCTCATTGAAGGTTTCAGAAATAAGTGAAACCTTAATAATTGTAATTAAGGGCCTGAGTTGGTCTGATCTGTGTGAAAAAAGGCAAGACGCAGCGACTCGGCAAGTAAACTCAGCAAGGAAAGCCCTGTGGGGGGCTTTGTTCTTGGAAGAAAATTTCAGAAAGAGACTAAAGATAAAACCCACCAAAGGTGTAATACTCTACATTAAGTGTAACAGTAGGTGAAAGCCTGTATAGGCCTACCTATTTTGAGAAAGGAGGACACCTAATATCTTAAAATAACTAGTCCTAGTACTACTTAGTTATGAAGCTCTAGTACTAGAATGTCCATTACTAATGTGAAGAAACAGAAATGACATTAACATAAGGTCCTGTAATTCATTTGCATACCTAGCACTAGCAGCTAGATTATATATTAGTATATATTTTATAAATAGTATAAAAATGTGTAGGCCTTATAACTAACTCAGTAATTGCTATATAATTATAATAAATGTTTATTAAAATGAACACTAGTATAACTAATATTAATAATATTCATTAATAGCCTAAAGAATAATGAATAAATTAAAAGAGTGTATTGTAGTGTATTGTAGGCCAAGTTTTTTGGGTTTTTTTTTATAATCAACTGCATGTAATAAAACTAGGTTAAGTCTTAAGTGTCAGTATATAAGCCTATAATGAATAAGTTATAATGCTGCATGGACATGACTATTGTTTTAGACTTGATCCTTTAACTTAAGTAGTATTATTTAAGGGAAAATTCTAATTAGAAACTATTGAGCAAACTTTAATACAAATTTTATTTTGAAGTGTAGGCCTACTTTTATTGAATAACAAAATTTGTTACATGGCAATAATTGACATAAAGACATGATGATTGGTGATGAAAGACTACTTTATTTATGAAGGTCAAGTAGTATACCTATGCTTCCACCAGCAAATAAAATTACTATTGATTTATAATGTTTTTTTAATGCTAGTTAAAGATTTCTATGAATATATGTTGTTCAATTTATGTTGATTTGTCCTCTACATCAAAATAAACTTTTATAGCTTAAAATTAGGATATTTAATTCATTAAGTCCTAAAAAAATATTTAGATGAAAGAGCCCTAAGGAGCCATCGATAAATAATGTCACCGTATTTCATTGAATTTTAACAGTCTCCATCACCCTACCCCCCAACTGGGTCACAAAATCATAGTGCAATTATACACTTTTATCAGAGATCCTCACAAATTTGTGGACCACCACCCCCCTCACCCTCAGCTAGATGTCATTTATGAATAGCCACATAGGATTTCTGTGAATATAAATATGCTGTCAGTAGTCAACCACAGCGCTAAATCTGTACCGGTGCATCAAAACAAAACAAAATCACCCTCAATGCACGGTTTTATTACTTAAATAGTAAACTTTGTAATCTTTCAAAATAATATAATTATTTTTTAAATTTTCAAACCATGCTAAGATGTGCTTGCCTTAAATGTTGGGGAATTGCAACAAATTTAAGATCTTTACAAAATATTTTAATCAAAGATGTAAGATAGTAAACCACCAAAATTTTTAATGACCATTATTTTGTGCAAATAATATGTGAATTTCTGAATTAACAGAGAAAATTACTTTATTTACAGATTCATCCTCAAACAAAAAATATCATCTGGACTGCTTTCTGACAAGTAATTTAACATCACAAACTCTTAACTTGAGTCAAGATGTCAAGCGAAGACAATGATTTGGATAGGGAAATCTCCCTATGGTTGAAGTGGGACAAGGTGTGTTTAAATAGCTGCACTTTTCTTAATGGGTACTACTGTTTAGAAAGAACAAAAAAATTAAGGGAAAAATGAGCTAGTAGATTGGTTCAGCTTTCATATCACTGGTCACTGCCATGGTTGGCCTATGTAAACATGAATTGGATGAGTATATCGTTGATTGAACGAAGAGAAATGATTCAGAAATGAAACTGTTTAATTTTTAAAAGAAATTATATTATTGGTTTCCTTTAATTAGCCCTACTCAACTTACTGGAATCACTAAGAAAAAACAAACATGATTTTTGAATCAACCAGAAAACAAGGTGGTGTCATCCACAAATTTCATAAATTCAGACGTACCCCATAGATGGCTTAGTCATTTTTAAAATTCATAATATTCTTCTTCTTTCCGTATTAAAATTTATTATATTTTTTTCATCCCCCCCAGAATGAGCAGACTCGACTTGCTATCAAGGATTTAGTGGAAAAAAAAGATTACACCGAACTCAGGCGGTTATTGCTGTCTAGAATGGAATTTGGAACTGCAGGTATAGTTCACATTGCAAAAGAAAAAAATTGTAATAAAAAATTAACGGGGCAAGAAAGTAAAAACCATTTATTACCGGTACCTAAAAAATTACTTAACATTTTTTAAAAATGTTATTATCTTTTGATCTTATTATTTAATTATTTTAGGCTTGAGGACAAAGATGGGACCTGGCAATGCACAGATGAATGACCTAACAATTATTCAAACAACACAGGTTTATTTATGTCTGATGTTTTTATTTAATCTGCTGTTTTACTAGCGCCTCTTGTTCATACCCAAACACCCCTTTAGCTAACAAGCAATTTTGCATAACAAATTTTTTTGCCATCCTTTGTCATTTTTAAAGTATTTTCTCCTCCAAATTATTATAAAGAGAAATAGCTAGTGGAATCCTTCTTTTCTTCAAATTAGTACAGCATTGTCACTTTTCTACATGTTAAGCATTTTTCCCACATATATATTTTTTGGTGAAAGAAAATCGTGGTTATTATTTTTTTTTACCACCTTAGGGTTTGGCAAAATATTTAAAGACGGTACAACCTGATGTCAGCAATATGGGTGTGGTAGTTGGTTTTGATGGTCGGCATAACAGTTATCGGTAGGAATTATTTGTTTTGTAAACATACCTTTTACAACTTACTGATGATGATTCTGAACACTTAATGGTTGCTTAATGTAAATAAGAGTGATTATAGTATGATTAACTGAACGTTTAACTAAATTATAGATTTTATATTTCATAAGACTGTGCAGTGTAACTTAGCTATAAATGTCTCTATCTTACAGTTTCAAACTCAACCCCTTTTTTATGTAATTTAAATTTAGCAAAAAAAATTTTTTGTTAAAATTCATTTTTTTAAAACAAAAAAGCTTATTTAAACATTTGTGTGAGTTGACATACACTTTTTTGTCATTTAATTTTTATTGAATGATGAAATCTTGTGTATATAAAAAAAAATTCAATGTTCTTTTTCTCCATCTCTTTCAGCTGGTCTCGCATTGTGGGTAATATTTTTGTGAATGCCAAAATTAAAGTTTTTCTCTTTTCAAAGTACTGCCCTACTCCATATGTGGTGAGTTATGTTATTTTTCTTTTTATATAGAACTCTTAGTAGGACTAAATTAATGATGGTTCACTGTACTTTAATCCTGGTACAAAAGCTCTTATACAATATTTATTATAATTAGTAAGAAAACTCAGCTGGTAGTTTAAATTCATACCAAAACTTAACTTACTATATTGTACTATAATTCAAGGCTTGTAACAGCCTGTAACAGTATCTTGCTTTTTACAAAATCTTACTACCTGACATCTCAGGCCTATGGAGTCAGAGCATTGAGGGCTGCATGTGGCATCATGATTACTGCCAGTCATAATCCAAAAGAAGACAATGGCTACAAGGTATTGATTTACTCATAATTTATGCTTATAATTATTTGAATTATGATCACCCTAACAGTTTAGAAATGTAAAGTTGTGAGTGTTATTATTTATTTGAAAATGTTATTTTTTTTTAATGATAGGCCTATTGAGATACCTTTGAATTCCTTTTATATTATGAATATGTCTTGACTAGAGTTATTCATAAAAATGTCAAAAAGCAATAATTTTTAAAAATTACATATTGCTTACACAGAGGTTATGATAAAAAGTGAATTGTTAAGACTAAGAGAATAAAAGAAGTGATAAATATGCATTTAGAAAGAATATCATTTTTTTAAAAATATATCTAAAAGGGAATAGATATTATTATAATGTATTTTGTTAAGAATTGGTCAAATACAATTTTTTTTTAAAGTTATCCTAGCTACTTATATTTCATTTAATCATTGACATTATCATAATTTATTTCACATAGGTTTACTGGGACAATGGTGCTCAGGTAAAAATCTAATTCTAAATATTTTTTTAAAGCCTTATTTATTAACATAATATCTGGGTTCTGTTTTTTGCTATTATTATTTTTCTTTAAATTAATATTTTAAGAGACTGGCACAATTATTAAGCCAATTGTAATATTCTTTATTTTACAACCATTCAGATTATCTCCCCTCATGATAAGGGTATCAGCCAAGGGATCTTAGACAGCCTGGAGCCGAGAGAAGATTCCTGGAATATTGAACTGCTGGAGACCAACACAGATTTGATTTTTGATCCACTGTCAGAGATTACAAGGCGATACAATGATGAGGCTCTTTCCTTGTGTTACATGAGGTATAATTTTAAATGTAGCTGCAAATCATTTGTCAGGAAGAGACAACTGATACCATGTTTATATTCTTTTGATGTGTTACTGATTTGAAAAATGTACATTGGGAGTAAAAGGAGGGATTTAGTATTAGTTATCTGTTATGAGAGTTCCTTGTTTTTGTCTTATAAAACTTAAAAAAGAGGAATCTAAAATTGTATGGTTTATATTTTAATAGAGATTTTAATAGATAATAGAGATTTTAATCATGCATTTTTTAATTTTTTTTTAAATATTGAAAGTCTTTATTTTCAGACCTCAATTTTTGGCCATAGATGAATTTACAAGTCTTCTCACATTGAAAATTCATATTGTCAAATTTTGGTTAAAATCAAAACATTTTTCTTGATCCTGGTGAACTGTGGATACAAATCCACTATTTTGATGTTGGTTGTGCTAAGAGATTGGTTTAATTACAGAGAGAAAAACCAGGAATGCCCTGTCCGTTTTACCTACACAGCCATGCATGGTGTGGGCTACGACTACATTTTGGAAATCTTTAGAGCGTTTGATTTCAAGGATCCCATTCCTGTCGCTGAACAGGTGTGTGTTGCTTTTTTCTAAATCCTCTTTGCTTGTTATTTTTAAGTATTATAATAGGTACCAAGTTCAATTTCAGTTCTCAGATTTTTAAAAGTTACACACATCTTACGTGTTGCTAGTTTGTAACATACCATTAGTTTACAATTTACATTTACTAATCTTGCTAATCTGAAGATTTAAAATGACCTTAAATTAGTAAAATCAAGTATTGATAAGTCTTTGCTAATGCTGTTTAAAGTTTTAGTAAACAAATACATTACTATGTCCATAGTTTTTATTTTCATGTCAAGTGTATAATAACTGTAAGTCTGACTTTTATGTTTGTAACATTTATTTCCCATTTCAAGTCTCCAAATGGGTTTTATGTTTATTTTTTAAAACTAAAATCAACTATTTTATGTATACAATTATGGCTCTGTTCATAGATACAGCCTGATCCTGACTTCCCTACCGTCAAGTATCCTAATCCAGAAGAAGGTGAAGGTGCCCTGGTAAGAGCTACTGTATATGCCATCGCTTTTGATTTTAGATTTTTTTTAAATCATCCATTTTAAATTGTTTCTCTTTTAATCTTTTAGTTAATCTGCCAGTTTTATCGGCAGGATATTGCTGGTATAGTTAAATCAATATTTGAAATCGAATACGGGATCTGGCATAGTATGTTAATTAGTTTTTCTCCCAAGTCACAAATGATGTCACAAATCTTTGTTTTTACAGAGAGTTACTTGGTATTGGTGAGAATATTGTTATCAAAATTTAAGCTTTCAAAAGGAGTTAAAATATAATTTTTATTGTTTTGAATTTTGACAGAAACTTGCTATGGCAACAGCAGACAAGAATAAAAGTAAAGTCATTCTAGCAAATGATCCAGATGCAGACAGGCTTGCAGTTGCCGAAAGAGTAGAAGGGTGAGGAAATGCTATGAATGCTTCAATTGTCAATATAAGTCACCATTATTCCGGTATATTTAAAAAAGTGAAATTCAGCATACTGGGTATGTAAGTGAAAAATATATTTACTTTCAATGTTACATTCTTCATCAATTTCGTTTACAAAATAAATTAAGATAAAACATCATTTCCTGCTGATACAATGTAACTGTCGTATTCTGTATTTTGTTAGGTTTTGCATTGTTTCATAGAAATTTGCTCACAATTGTTTAAAATTACATTTTCAGTAATTGGCGTGTGTTTAATGGAAATGAAATCGGAGCTTTTCTTGGCTGGTGGTGTTGGGTATCTTGGCGTCAGAAAAATCCCAGCATAGATTGTGAGTTGTTACATTGTGTTGCTCTACAAAGATGTTTGTTTTTAGATATCTGTTTCATGGAGTATTCATTCAGTTTCGTTCTGTTATAAAATTAGCAAAACTTTAAGAAATTGATATTAATGATGTTATTATCGTTACTATCACAGAGTACCTACACCAAAACTTTCCTGAACTTTTACCGGGTAATAGACATTAAATATGAAAATTTTGGCCCTTTTCACAGAATAAAAATTATAGAGGTCAGCCGTGGTAAAATTCGTTTTCCATTTTCTGTAAAGTATTTCTCACTGTTAAATTTGAGAGAATTTAAGAAATTTTTTTGTTTTTCTTTCAGTATCTAAAGTATACATGTTATCCAGTACTGTGTCCTCAAAGATTCTTGAAGCCATAGCAAAGAAGGAAGGCTTTAATTTTATTGTAAGTGTCAACAAGCAGTCAACTTTATTTTTATTCTCCATTGAGGTATTTCTTCATCATGTTTTCTTGCCGTCATATTTTTAATATGATTAACTTCTCTTTGTCTTTAATTTAAAATAATGTGGACATTGTGCAGACTCTAAAGTTTAATAATGATCTTAATTGCCAGGAAACTTTGACCGGGTTCAAGTGGATGGGAAATAAGACGGAAGAACTTCTTAAAACCGGGAACCACGTTTTATTTGCTTTTGAAGAAGCTATTGGTAAGAATTCGTTTTTTGTTATCATTTTGATTTTTTTATGTGATTTTAAGGTAGAGAGCTTGAGAGTGTTTTTGAAAATCATCCTTGCATCAACATAAGTTAATTTATAAATGTTATCTGAAAACACCATGAACATTGAAAAAAAGAATTGTTTAATCCTCTTCATCTCTAGGCTACATGTGTGGTTCATTTGTAATTGACAAAGATGGCGTCGCAGCAGCTGCTGCAGTTGCTGAACTGGCTAATCATGTCTACTCTACCAACTCTTCACTTTCCCAGCAGCTAGAAGTCATTTACAAAACGTGAGTATGAACATGAATAGAAAATACATTTTTTTAAAATAATTTATTCCTTTTTTTTAAACTTTGTTTTGCATTTTGTTTTAAGTTAAATAAATTTCCCAATCAGAACAAAAGTTTTTGCAAACACGGGCTAACTTTTAGAAAAATTATTTTAGAACTGACTTTGAAAAATTAAATGCCAGGTAGATATTTAAAGAGCCTAGATAAATATTTAAGGGGCATGGCAACCAGCTGTGTGTAATTGTAGTCTCACTTCCCCATCTCCCTTCCCCCATGTAAAATTATATTTTTTATTCAAAGTTTAAATAGAAAGTTTCATGATGAAAATTCATTGCTTCATATATTTCCAGATACGGGTATCACCTGAGTCAGAACTCATATTTCATCTGCCATGATGCTAAAACAATTAAGGACATGTTTGAAAGACTCCGCAACTTTGATGGAAATTTCAATGTAAGTAAATAATCAAATAACTTTTATTTTTGTAAATTGGGACCTGAATTGTAAATGTAAAATACAGTGAAAAAATGATAACAAAAACTTGTCATTTGCTAATTATAAAATTCCTAATTATAAATTATTATCACTGATACTACCGACTTGTATTCACCCCTTCGACAGCTTCGCTCCTCTGCAGACATGCGTATTCTGTCCGTTCCCAAGACACACACTAAAACATATGGTGAACGATCTTTCTCTTTCTGCGCCCCCAAACAATGGAGTTCTTTGCCACTAAACATACGCAATATACCAACCACCCAGGCCTCCAAAACTGCACTAAAAACATATCTTTTTAAATTATACTACCCTGACTGATTCCCCTCCTCTGACCGATAAATGATCTTGCTGGCTGCCGTCCATGGTTTGCCTTGTAAAAGTTATGTGGTGGGGTGGGTGAATATACATTGCTGTTCTTTATTTCATAAATGTATTTTATTTTAATGTCATGATTATGTCTCTTTTGATAAAATTTTTATGTACAGCGCGGTGAGCCCAGCCCTAAGCTGGGGTACCGCGCTATATAAGAGGTCTTATTATTATTATTATTATTATAACCTGTCAACAAATGATAATGTCACTTCCAACTTTGAAATTATTTTGATTTTGTGACTTATAAAATTATCTCCCTATCAAATGTGTAAATGTGAGACCCAACTTCTAAGGGGTATTCTGAACCCTAATTTTACTGTTAAAGCTTCTCTAACCCTAGCAACAATAATATCTTTAATTGGTCTATTTGCTAAATATCATTGGAAGTTAACAAATATCTCTGACACCAGTTAAGTCATCACCATTTAAAAAAAACAAATACACCAATCATCAACTATATTTCAAATAGTTGAAATATTTAATCTAACTTTAAATAGCCAAACTTGTATTTAATCTCTTAGATTAGTAACAAATGAAATATTTTGTTGACAGTATCCAACAAAGTGTGGTGACTTTGAGATTGCTCATGTGCGGGATCTCACCACTGGCTACGATAGTGAAACCCCAGACAAGAAGCCCGTACGTCATTTAGATGTGTTAATGTTTAAAATTAAAGTATCAAATTATTGTAGCATTTCTTATTAGTTGTTAAGAGATTTATTTCCATCTACTTTTTGATTTAACTGTCCTCAAATAAAGTGAATGTGCAAGACTGCTCAGTTAGAAGGATGAGCAAGAAAATTTTTAAAAATTAATTAAATCTTAAGATTTCATCTTATGAAGTAAATTATCTATTTTTTTACTCTTCTGTATTAAAAAAAAAGTTTTTTTTGTTGTTGTTTTTTCAAACCATTCTTATGATTCCTTCTTTTTCTTTTTTTTTTATGTCAGTCTTACACAAAAAATTAATTTTAATATTATCAAAATATTTTAATAAAATCGTATGAAGATAGATTGACCATGCATTATTGTCAGAATGCTAAAAAGTATTCCATCAACAAAACCGATAAATTTACTTGAATTAAAAGCTATCATACTCTATTGTTGTGACTTTTATCCAGATCCTCCCCACCAGTAAGTCCAGCCAGATGATCACTTTCAAGTTTGTCAATGGATGTGTGGCCACACTGAGAACAAGTGGAACTGAGCCTAAAATAAAATATTATGCTGAGCATCGACCCAACCCTGAATCCGGGTATGATATTTGCTTTTCACTTTGTGTTCTTGTTAAAAAAATTATACCCTTATATAAGTTGATGATGACTTTGTTATTGAAAGACTCTTAGATAAAAAATATGTTTTCAGCATGAACCAAAGGCAGAAACAGAAAGAAGTAGAATTTTTAATTATAGCACATTTAACTTAATTTAAGGTCCTCTTCTTTCTTTCATTTTCATGGCTGAAGCAGGGCAGACAGGGAGATTAAAATTTTTGTCTAAAACTTAACTTCTCAAATACTCATTGTAATGTAAAGAAATATCCAGATAAAGTACTGGGTAGATGTATTTATATCAGTGCCGTCTTAATGCATGGGACAGTGGTAAGTTGCCCAGGGCCTCACGCCTCTTAGGGACTTCAAGTTTCCCATATTGTTAATGAATATTGCTATATAATTAAGCAAATTAATTTTGTTTAAAGTGCATTGAGGGAAAGCAGGTTTCCCAAGTTTTTTTTAACTAGTTTTTTTTACAATTTTAAAATCAATATGATTTTTTGGGGTACTAGTTTGAGAAAAATGTGTCAATTTTTTTTTTTAATCCAGGGATTCAGAAATTGTCAGAGATTATAATGCATGGGCCCCAAATGCTTTTCCTTACATTACTTGAAAAGGTTAGAGAGGAATTGGGGCCTCAGTACATTACTTTGCCCAGGTCCCCCGACGCTGTTAAGATGGCATTGAATTATATTACTCTTCAGCTTACATTTTATGAACAAGGGATTGTCAACCCTGTATCATATGACATGTGTCACGAGTCCTAGAATGTAGCAAATAAGATTTGTCTTGGAACTTCTCAAAAGTCTAGATCATGCACAGTTATTGATGCCCTGTGTGATCTAGTAATTAAGTATTAACTTTCTTTAAAAAACAGTGTTATCGTATACATTTTTAAAACATTCATATTTAATTGAACAGATTTTATTTTTTAAAAATAAGCTTTATCCAGCCTGTATATTTTGTTGGTGAATCTCATCTTTCACAGGCTGGGGTATGATGAAGTTAAGCAGCAGTTGAGTGAGATTGTCAAGAATATTGAGACCCACTTCTACAACACAAAACTGTTTCCAAACATTTTGCCAAGAGAGCTGTAAAATTAGCTCTCAGATTTTCTTATGGTGTCTGTTAGCACTCGGAAGAGCCAAGGAATGCTTTTGCAATGAGAAAGTAAAGGATCAGGGTAACTTCCATGCTGCAGATAGATTACATGGCCACTGTGATGGCTTAGAATAGACATCAATTTTTCAAAAGTTATTTTTCAATAATCTGTGATTAATCATTCACCTTTGCCATCAGAAATGCCATATAAAATTTGTGATAAGTTTGTTGTTTTTTTTTAATAAAAATATTGACATATTCTTTTCAGAACCTTTCCCTGAAGTGCAAATACTAAAAAACAAAACATTAATTAATTAATTGAGTTTTCTTGCATTTAAAAGAACAAACTTATAAAAAATAATGCCTTTTTTTTTTTTAAAAAAAAAAAAAAAAAAAAAAAAAAAAATTTTTTTTTTTTTTTTTTTTTTTTTTTTTTTTTTTTTTTTTTTTTTTTAAATGTTTTTTTTTATTTAGTTTAGTAATACAAAAGTATTATGTAGTTTGTAAGACTTGTAATTATTTAGCGTTAGATTTTTTTTTTTATTGTGCGTATCCTTAAATCATTCCAAAATTTATTCTCAAATTACATCACCTTCGGTATAAAAAAATTAACTCTGTTGGTTCATTTACCCTGATAGCATTATATCTTAAGCTCAAATCATATGCATAGGTGTTCTATCAGTTTTGTTATTACAAAATCTCGAAGTGAGCATATCTTCTTTTATCATGGTATATCTTTTCTGCTCAAGGCAGGTTTACCATTTTTCTGTCATATTTTGTTTTTTATGGCAGTAGTTTATTTGATTTTTTATTCACTCTTACTTTTAGCTTTTAAGTTAAAGAGATTTACCTCATGTAGTGCTTAACTATGGTGTGTGAATGACATCATGATATAACTTATACCTCAGATACCGTTCTTTGCCAGTAACCTATGTTATGAAACGTTGTACTTGATATTTATATACATACCTTACATTTAACAACTGAGCAGCTGACAAGTCATGAACTCATTATATTGCTAATAAACAGCCTTGTCAGAAACCACCTGAAATGTAAGACGCAAAATAAAATTTAAAGTCTTAAAGATGGAGTTGAAAGATGAAATAAATATGACTTGATTGTTACCAGTTTAAATGAAATGAACAATATTGGATGGTAAATCTTACAAGCTTGATGGGTTTTAAATCTTATAATAACTTATACATTTATATATCTGAGGTTTTTGTCTAACCCTTAAAATTTTTTATGTTATTAATTTTATTCAAATCTACAATATTTATGGAGGCCATAGTTAGGTTTTCTGATGAGTTGGATTATAGCAATTTTGGTTACTGTTGTGTCATTGGTTGCCATTTTTTTCCCTAAGTCTTACATATCTATTAAAAATTTGCTAGTCTTTAGCTTTGTCATATATCTGTGATTATGTTATCTTTTTGCTCTTTATTCCATATCTTACATAATATAATGACAGAAATCTTGATTATATTATCTGCTAAAACAGAATTGTTAACCCCAAAAAGAATTTCAGCAAGACACATTGTTATTTTCTTTGGGAGCCAAATACACAGATGTCACACAAAATGGATTTGATTTCCAGCTATTTCTGCTGCCATGCCAAGCTTTACAAGTGTCAATGCCCATTATAAAAAGGGTGTTCATGGTAGCCTAATTCAATTATTTTTTCCAAATATTAATAAATATTAAATGTATTTGCAACACAGGACAAGACTCACACAAATTTTAATTGATACATTTATGTTACATTTCAATATTTCTTTTTCTTTGAAACTTTAAACCAGCGGTTATGTTAGGACTCGATTGTTAATCAATGATTTTGTTTACCATATTCGTATTGTTCATCATGCAATCGTACAGATCTATAATAATTGTCAAAAATACAATTCATGTTTTATGGCTTCTTTGGAAGAATTAGGAATAGACCATAAGGAAATAAAAAGGGAAATTGAGATTTACTAAAAAAAAAATGCTGGAGATAATATATTTCTGATGTTACTGAATAGCTTGATGAGACTTGAACAAGAATAATATGAATACGCATGGAGCTTTCTTGATTGTCTGGCTTTTCTATATTACCAGTATAATGATAAATTATAAAAATAGTTTTGAGTGGTTACCTGTAATAATATTTTTTTTTTTAACTTTAATTATAAATGCAATTTCTGTTCATTGAAATTATTATGTGCAACATTCACAATCATTGTATGTAATTTGTCAAAAAATGTGTGAATGATAAAATAGGGATTAAGTTTTTGTAAGCAGTTGTTACACTATATCATCAACAAAGGGATTTTAAGTTGAATTTTTTTTAAACTTCTTTATACAATTGTTGCCATACATTTAAACTAATATTACAGATACTCTATATACTATTATTATACATAATTTAAAAAATAAACAGAAGGAACTCAGACTTACTTACTGTTGCATCACATTTTCTGTTTCTATGAACCTCTATTGTTACTACTCAAGTTTAGAATACTATGTTATTTCTTATTTAAACTTCAGCTCATTCTCTTGTTATATTTTGTATACCTTAAAAAGTATTCAGCTCCTTGCATGGAAGAGGTAAGCTAAAAATTTGAAATTTAATTTAAAAAATTAATATTTCAAATTATTTAACAACAATAGTTCTCACTATTCTCGGTCAACATTTATCCCCTCAACGACAGTTGCATGTGGTCCTCATTAAATGACAATATTTTTTATGGAAAAAAAAAAAAAAACTTTATAACAAAGTTTATTTGTTTAATTTAAAATTTTGTGGATCTTACCTAACTACATGTGAGCTCTTCAAATGTCACACTTAATCGGATGACCAATGTTTGATAATTTTCTTGAACAATTCTCTTTTACAAAAACAAGTACATATATATTTATTTTTGTTGCATTTCCTCAATCTTTTAAGAAAAAACTGGTTCACACCTAACCTAGTTACTTCATTATTCAGATGTTTGTAAACTTGATGAGTGTCAATTGCAACTGATATATTAATTCCATCAGATGTATTAATTCCATAAGATTTCAGTAATTACAACAACAAAAGCTCTTGAAATTTAAACATACCATAATTTCACAACAGATTAAAATTCCAATTTTTTAAAAGATTCAGTTAGGAATAAATTTAATAATTTATTTGTCCTATTGATAATTCGTGTTTAAAATTTACTACTGTTCACAAGGCTTTTTAAAAAAATTATTTCAAGGATTTAGTACAATTCTGGTATTGTAATTTATAAATGTAATTTTATTTATTATATGCTAGGAACAATAAGAAATCAATATTCTATTTTGGTTACAGAAAGGTCTTAATTGATATATAATATTAGGCTTTCCAAGTAAGCTAGCTGGCATCCTTTGGTCTGGTGAGCCCTCTGAGATGATGATGTAACTTCTGTTTATTTAGATAACTGGTTTTGTAATTAATTGGTTTTACTTTTTTTTTTTTTTCAATTTAAAAAAAATATTTTTTACTATTATTTTTTACATTTTTTTTTTTTTGAAAGTGATGAACTAATCAACTCTTTTATACTCACTGGTCACTATGTGTTTCAATGGTGGCGCACTACAGGATTTCCTGCTAAACTTGAACAAATGCCACAAAGATGATGATGTAACTTCTGTTTATTTAGATAACTGGTTTTGTAATTAATTGGTTTTACTTTTTTTTTTTTTTCAATTTAAAAAAAATATTTTTTACTATTATTTTTTACATTTTTTTTATTATGAAAGTGATGAACTAATCAACTCTTTTATACTCACTGGTCACTATGTGTTTCAATGGTGGAGCACTACAGGATTTCCTGATAAACTTGAACAAATGCCACAGCTGGCTGGTAGATGCAGGGACTTTGTGTGGAATTTAAAATA